TTTGACACTCCTGGTGGTTCCTCAGTTCAATCGACAAATGGTGGAGCAAGCTGAACTGATGGTGAAGTTGGCCCTGAAAGATCGAGAAAAAGATGTACGTGGGGGAGAAGGTCATTCCACGGCGGCGCCAACTGTAGAAAAAGATGAACATCAGGAAGAAGAACCACGTCCGGGAGAAGATCATCGAAAGGAAAAAAGAAGAAAAACCGAAGAGAGGGATGCTGATCGCGCCCATGATAAAAGGGAAAGAGGAAGAGACCGTCGGAGACGGGGTGAAACAGGGCGATCTAGGTCGCCACACAGGGAAAAGGAATCGACAACAAGGCGATCGGAGAGTGAAAAAAGCCCTGGCCCTTCTACAGCCGAATCGCGAGGTTCGGAAAGGGTCCCAAAGGGACCGATAGCTCCGCTGCCAGAGGGTATGAAAGCCCCTGGGAGACCGCCACCGAAAAAACCGTCGATGCCAACTCCCAAGGAAGAGGAAAAAGTACCCACCGATGATGAAGAGTGGGGAAAATGGAAGGAACAGAGAGAAGGAGAAAAAATGGCTGATTACCTTGCAAGGATGAGATCAGTCTATGGAAAGGCAATACCTGCAGAGCCAAGGGAAAAACCTGCAGAAACGACCCGAGCCTCCTCCTCTAAGGCAGCTCCTAAGGCAGCGGCTTACTATGAAGTGGATGGAGGAGAATGGTATTGGTGGGATGGTGCATGGGGTGACAAATGGGAACCGAAAAAGAAAAAGAAGAAGAAGAACAAATACACCGAGGCTGAATGGGAACAGTGGTACAAGGAGCATCCGGAGGAGGACACTGAGTCTTCCCAGACACCAAGAAGGCCAGCAGAACCGGAGACTCCGCCACCGGCCCAAAGACCAAGGATTCGTCCGGGACAAGATTTAATTCGACGTCCTGAAGACCCAGCCAGCTGGACAGTTTACATGCCTGAGGTGGTCATGCGTGAGGTGGAATATATCATCTCTGGAGAGGGCACAGCATGGATGACAAAGCCGCCGGCCGTAACAGGCTTTGAAGAACAGGGTCAGGCCATTGACATGTGGCATGTTCCAGCCCCTGGGGACTATGGACGAATCATCACAAGAATCCATTACAAATGGAGACAGAATTCATTTCATCCAGATCACCCCACTTTACCGAAAAAGGTCGACCAGTTGGATCCTTACCGGGTCACATTTTTGTGGAATACCCTGGACAGCAACGAGCGAAAAATAATCTTGGATTTTGACTGGGAGACCAAGTGGGTCGAAGACAAGTGGGTGGGATACACCGTTTTCCTTGTCAAACAAGACCCAAGAGATGTGGCGAAAAGCTCACCCAAAAGGAAATAGGTCACACGGAAAAGTACATCGGTGGCTGGAGAAAAAGATCAACAAGACCCAAGGAAAAGATCATTAGCTGCCGGTGGAAAAGACCAATACAGGGAAAAGCTCATCAGCTGCTGGACCCAAAGAACACCGTTGGGCGCTCTTCGAGGACAGCGCTGGTGAGAGAGGGAATTCAAAACCTACGAAGTTAGGGCTGTAGTTTTTCAATTTTTGGAGTCAACCCGAAGTGGAACTCCACGCGACCCTTGGATGAAGGGGGAACCAACACCAGCCTGGGACTATGGCACACGAGGGTCTTCGCCCTTCTGGCTGGGGGAAGGGCGAGTTCCCAGAGGAAACGTGGCCACCCCTGAAGCTTTTGTTTTTGGTGTTGGGGAACCTGGATTCCTGCAAGCAGGAAGGGGGAGTGCGGTTTGGGAAACATGCACAGAGTACCACTGCACCCCCACTAAGGTCTTTTTTAAAGTTTTCACAGTCGTTGAGACGTCCTCCGACTGTTGCAACTTGGCTCAAGGGCCAATCAACTGACTGGCTCAATTTACCGAGCCCAACTTGGAGTGAAAAGGTGCGCCAGCATCTGCCTCTTGGTGGGGTTCTCCGGGAAGGGTCTCGGTCATAGTCTGAAACCCGTGATTACGAAAGCCAGCTGGGAAGCTGGCTGGTTGCTATTTGCGAACGAAGTGAGAATAGGGGGTCTGGGGGGGGGTAGTTGCCAAACGGGTCAAAAATCGGGAAAATAGGTGGTAATTTTAGGCGGACGAAAGTATGGTTTTGCAGGGTAATGTACCAGGCGGCAAAACAGTGACGGTGGGTATCGATTCCCCCTAGGTCCGGTTTTCTGGGGGTTTCTGGGCGCAGTCAATGGACAGATAGATGGGCCGGCTAGTTAGACGAGATTGGAGAGAGAAGGACGTTGGGTGCAAAGTATGTGCAAGAAGGGTTTCTGGGTGAAGAGTCTCTGGGTGAAAAGTATATGGGTGAAAAGTATGTGCAAGAAGAGTTTCTGGATGAATAGTCTCTGGGTGAAAAGTATGTGCAAGAAGAGTTTCTGGGTGAAGAGTCTCTGAGTAAAAAGTATATGGGTGAAAAGCATGTGCAAGAAGAGTTTCTGGGTGAAAAATCTGTGCAAAAAGAGTTTCTGGGTGAAGAGTCTCTGGGTGAAAAGTATATGGGTGAAAAGTATGTGCAAGAAGAGTTTCTGGGTGAAGAGTCTCTGGGTAAAAAGTATATGGGTGAAGAGTCTGTGCAAGAAGAGTTTCTGGGTGAAGAGTCTCCGGGTGAAAAGTATATATTGGTGAAAAGTATGTGAAAGAAGAGTTTCTGGGTGAAAAGTATGTGCAAGAAGAGTTTCTGGGTGAAGAGTCTCTGGGTGAAAAGTATATGGGTGAACAGTATGTGCAAGAAGAGTCTCTGGGTGAAAAGTATATGGGTGAAAAGTATGTGCAAGAAGAGTTTCTGGGTGAAGAGTCTCTGGGTGAACAGTATATGAGTGAAAAGTATGTGCACGAAGAGTTTCTGTGTGAAATGTATATGGGTGAAAAGTATGTGCAAGAAGAGTTTCTGGGTAAAGAGTCTGTGCAAGAAGAGTTTCTGGGTGAAGAGTCTCTGGGTGAAAACTATTTAGAAGAAGAGTTTCTGGATGAAGAGTCTCTGTATGAAAAGTATATGGGTGAAAAGTATATGGGTGAAAAGTATGTGCAAGAAGAGTTTCTGGGTGAAGAGTCTCTGCGTGAAAAGTATATGGATCCAACATATGTGCAAGAAGAGTTTCTGGGTGAAGAGTCTCGGGGTGAAGAGTATATGGGTGAAAAGTATGTGCAAGAAGAGTTTCTGGGTGAAGAGTCTCTGGGTGAAAAGTATATTGGTGAAAAGTATGTGCAAGAAGAGTTTCTGGGTGAAGAGTCTTTGGGTAAAAAGTATATGGGTGAAGAGTCTGTGCAAGAAGAGTTTCTGGGTGAGGAGTCTCTGGCTAAAAAGTATATGGGTGAAAAGTATGTGCAAGAAGAGTTTCTGGGTGAAGAGTCTCTGGGTAAAAAGGATATGGGTGAACAGTATGTGCAAGAAGAGTCTCTGGTTGAAAAGTATATGGGTGAAAAGTATGTGCAATAAGGGTTTCTGGGTGAAGAGTCTCTGGGTGAAAAGTATATGGGTGAAAAGTATGTGCAAGAAGAGTTTCTGGGTTAAGAGTCTCTGGATGAAAAGGGTGAAACGTATGTGCAAGAAGAGTTTCTGGGCGAAGAGTCTCTGGGTGAAAAGTATATGGGTGAAAAGTCTGTGCAACAAGAGTTTCTGGGTGAAGAGTCTCTGGGTGAAAAGTTGATGGGTGAAAAGTATGTGCAAGAAGAGTTTCTGGGTGAAGAGCCTCTGGGTGAAAAGTATATTGGTGAAAAGTATGTGCAAGAAGGGTTTCTGGGTGAAGAGTCTCTGGGTGAAAAATATATGGGCGAAAAGTATGTGCAAGAAGAGTTTCTGGGTGAAAAGTCTGTGCAATAAGGGTTTCTGGGTGAAAAGTATATGGGTGAAAAGTATGTGCAAGAAGAGTTTCTGGGTGAAGAGTCTCTGGGTGAAAGTATATGGGCGAAAAGTATGTGCAAGAAGAGTTTCTTGGTGAAGAGTCTATGGGTGAAAAGTATGTGGGTGAAAAGTATTTGCAAGAAGAGTTTCTGAGTGAAGAGTCTCTGGGTGAAAAGTATATGGGTGAAATGTATGTGCAAGAAGAGTTTCTGGGTGAAGAGTCTCTGGGTGAAAAGTATATGGGTGAAAAAGTATGTGCAAGAAGAGTTTCTGGGTGAAAAGTCAATGCAATAAGGGTTTCTGGATGAAGAGTCTCTGGGTGAAGAGTCTCTGGGTGAAAAGTATGTGCAAGAAGAGTTTCTGTGTGAAGAGTCTATGGGTGAAAGTATATGGGTGAACAGTATTTGTAAGAAGAGTTTCTGGGTGAAGAGTCTCTGGGTGAAAAGTTTATGTTTGAAAAGTATGTGCAAGAAGAGTCTCTGGGTGAAAAGTATATGGGTGAAAAGTCTGTGCAAGAAGAGTTTCTGGGTGAAGAGTCTCTGGGTGAAGAGTATATGGGTGAAAAGTATGTGCAAGAAGAGTTTCTGGATGAAGAGTCTCTGTATGAAAAGTATATGGGTGAAAAGTATATGGGTGAAAAGTATGTGCAAGAAGAGTTTCTGGGTGACGAGTCTCTAGATGAAAAGTATATGGGTGAAAAGCATGTGCAAGAAGAGTTTCTGGGTGAAGAGTCTCTGGGTGAAAAATCTATGCAAGAAGAGTTTCTGGGTGAAGAGTCTCTGGGTGAAAAGTATATTGGTGAAAAGTATGTGCAAGAAGGGTTTCTGGGTGAAGAGTCTCTGGGTGAAAAATATTGGGGAGCATAGGGATAGATGGGATGCTGTCTTTCGTTCACTCCTTCTCAGGTTCTTTTTGTCTTTATGCCTAGTGGCCTAGTGTTAGAATGTTTTAATATGTTTTATATAGATAGTTTTGGCAAGTCTATGCCTGATGAGTCAGTGAGAACTTTGGACCCAGGGATGGCACGTCGAAGCTACATCGAAACATCTTGAACCGTAATATCACATTGCAAGGACATGGACGGACAGCTACAGTCTTTCTGAATTCGGCCCTGTAAAATCTCCAAAATTGATTTCCTAAGGTGGCGAAATCCCGGAGAGATTCCTGGGGACGGCATCGACAACGATGGCAATGGCTTTGTGGATGATGTTTATGGCTATGACTTCGCTGACAATGATGGTGATCCAATGGATACGAACGGCCATGGAACTCACTGTGCTGGTACCATCGGTGCTGAAGGTGGCAACTCTATTGGTGTGGTGGGTGTGACTTGGAAGCCCCAAATCATGGCCCTCAAATTCCTGGGCGCCAACGGTGGAAGTACCTCAGATGCCATTCGGGCCATCGACTATGCAGTGGAAATGGGTGCTCACCTCACTTCCAATTCCTGGGGTGGAGGTGGCTATTCCCATGGACTGGTCGCTGCCATTGAAGCTGCAGCTGCAGCAAATCAGCTCTTCATCGTCGCAGCGGGAAATGACGGCCAAGACAACGAGGTGAGTCCCATGTATCCCTGCAACTACAACTTGCCCAACATGATTTGCGTGGCATCCACAGACTCGGATGGTGATTTATCATCCTTTTCAAATTGGGGTATAAATGTTGTACACATTGCGGCACCAGGATCCAGAATCCACAGCACTTACCTCTACGGTGATTATCAGTCGTTGTCTGGAACCTCAATGGCAACACCTCACGTTGCTGGTGTGGCAGCTTTGCTGCTGGATTACATCCCCAGCCTGGAGGCAGCTGTCTTGAAGCAATTGATCCTGGGTTCAGCGGTGAGGTTTTCCAAGTTCTCATCCAAGGTATCCACAGGTGCACATCTCAACGCCCATGCGGCCTTGGTGATGGCCAGCCAATATTCTTGGATCCAAATGAGCGGAAGTGCCATCAGCGCAGGTAACATCACCATCCCTGCACAGAGCTCCACAGCTATCAACCTCCGGCTGGGAGGAACTGGACTGGACCATGGGGAGTATCGGGCAAGGTTGCGCATGTCAGGGACCTTTAATGGGGTGGTCTACACTCAGATCATCCCCATCCTGTACACCGTCCACGATTTTGCCGGGCTTCCTGTGTTTGGGGCAGCTGCCCTTCAGTTTGAGGATACAGATGGAAGGAGGCAGATGATCTCAGGTGCACTTACAGTCACTCGAGCAACTCCTGAACAAGAAGCCACGTTCTCGCAATATCACATTTTCTGGGCTGGCTCTGCACAAAGTAGGCTGTCTGATGTTCCTCTGGCAGCATTGGACACTGGCAATGTTCTTCATGACAACTTTGCCACCTTTGACCCAAGCTTTTGGTCCGGCCCAAATGGTGAAGCGGACTCCGGCAGCTCATTCGGCTCCAGCGCAAACTGGTCGGTCTCAAATGGAGCAGCAGTCTTTTCAAGCCAGTATCCCCATGCGCATCTGACCCTGGCCCGACGGTTTGCACCACCTTTCACGGTGAGGACCAAAGTAAAGAAAACAACTGGGGCATTGGCCCAGATGGTGGTGGAGATTGGTGGGTCCAGTGCAAACCTCTTTGGTCAGGGTGGCATTCGCGCCGTATTCTTCGGTTCTCAGAAAGTCTTGATCGCTCCTGAGGGGCAGCATGAGTCGGTGCCATGCACACTGGGTACTTGGTTTGAAGTGACCATCATTGTCCTCCAGAACTCCGTGACTTTCCAAGACAACCAGGGCTGTGCGACCATTGTGAAGACCCTGGCCATCACGGAGGCAACGAAGAGCATCAGAATTGGTGCGGACTGCACCGGAGAATGCGCCTCGGCCGGAGGATCGGTTTGGGATTACTTTGAAATTAGCGGAGGCCTCTATGCCACCTTCAATGTCCCAGAGAACACCGCTATCCCAGTGGATGCCACTGGATTTGTTGCCCATGGATGGAATGTGTTAGGCTTGAGTAGCACTAGCCTTTACCTGCCACTTTCAGACCATCGAGTTGCCAATCGTGCATCGCAGCCAACGGATGTGCAAGGAAGCTCAGCTACTACTAGCAGCCTCACAGTGTCCTGGACACGTGGAGGTCTGAACGATTGCACGGGTTTCTTCATGCGCTATGAGGTCGTTACTCAAAGTGCCGATTCCACGTGGGTTGATGCGGCTGGTTGTCAAGGTCTAGTGAGCCAGACAGCAGAAAACTGTGTTGTGACTGGCTTGACCAGTGACACCCCGTACCAGTTCAGGGTCCGAGTTCTCTGCAGTTTGGAAGAAACACAGAGTTTGTGGAGTGAGATTTCAGCCGCTGCTGTCACGCTTCCACTTCCTGCCGTCGCCCCAACACAGCTGCGAGTACGGCTCCCTGGGTCCAGCACGCGCGGCGCCCAGATCTGTTCAGCCGATGGCGTGGGATTTGTCCAAGGCACTTTTTTCCATTGAGTCTTTTTAGACAACATACATCCACGATCATCCACGATCATCCAGATGTATTCCAGATGTTAAATCCAAATGTACATCGTTTCCAGGATTCAGGCATTTGTGTTTCACGTGTATTTTTTCTCACTTTGATTTATTTTCATTGGCGACACCGAGGTTGCTCGTGTCGTGGCAGTCAGGACTTCTGAATGACTGCGAGTTTGTGGAATCGCTTGTGGAAGGTCAGCAAGTTGGGCAGGCCACCTGGTTTCAACCGCAAGGCTGCACCGGTTTGACGCTGCTCAACGCCTATCATTGCACCGCAGAAGCTTTGACAGCAGGCACTCAGTACGTGTTCCGTGTGAAGACGAGCTGTGCAGATCCTCGATCTTCCAGCTCTTGGAGCGCAACCAGCATTCCCGAATCAACTTTGGAAACTGTCCAAGCATGGGAATCGAATATCCGCAGACTGATCTCCATCAACATCGCTTCAGATTTGGACTATAGCCAAGTGGCCTCAAATGCAGATGCTTTTAAATCCAGCATTGCCACCCAAACAGCCAATGCCCTCAGTGTGGATGCTTCGCAAGTCAAGGTAGAAATCATGGCCGGTGCGGCCGCCTCCCCAGACTCTGGCCGCAGACTGGCAGAAGTCTCTGTGGTTTTTGCGGTGACAGTTGAAGGTGCCAGCCAAGGACAGATGACTCAGGATGTCTGTTTGTCTGGTCAACATGTACGGAATTATGGAAGATAAATGAATAGAACATGAATGAACATAATGTCTAATGCATGTGATATATATATATATATAGGATTATATAGGTATACAGAATATAAAAGTCCATGTGGGTGTGTTTTTAAACTCATATCAGATTGTCTATGCATGATTATGGGAATCAGTGGACCATTTTTTTGGGTCCCATGTTTTGAGGAGAATCGGAGACCTCCAACCAAGTCATTGCAGGTGTGGCCACTGCAGTGGAGGCAGAAACAGGTTCTGCTAGCACCCTGTCAGTCGCAAGCACATCAACCTTAACTCCAGCAATTGCACCAGAGAAAATCACCTGGAGCTATTTTGGTGATGGGCGACTTCAGTTGAATTGGAAGCCTCTGCCTTTGGGCGATTGCTCGTTCCTGGCTTGGCACGTGCTTGTGAATGCTGGAGGCCCAGCAACTCTTGTGTCTGGATGCACGAACCTCATGAACCTTTCGCGTACAGAGTGTGTTGCAGCTGGAATGGACGGAAGCCAAAGCAACACCTTCACTGTGGGAGTCCTTTGTGCAAACCCCGCTGCAAACAGTGTGCAGTCTGAAGCAAGCGATGCCTGGCCAATTTTTGCAAGCACCACAGGCGCTTCTGGGTCTGGGTCAGGACAGCCTACAACTACAACGGTTCCAGTCCCAGTGCTCTGTGAAACGATTGCATCACTATCATCGGTCGGTGCTTCCGAGGTCTCTCAGAAATTTGCCGATCAGCTAGAGCTGCAGGTAACAACAGCCTTGTCGCCATGTGCGGCAGATCCCAATGTCCAATTGAAGACAAGCTGGCAATATCTATCCACTGGCTGGATCTCATTGGAGGCAGCTGGTTTGGTGGATTCCTCTCCTTTGCCCAACACGCTTCGCTTCCCAGCTTTCACCCTGCTTCCTGGCAGCCATCAATTCCGGGCAGTTCTGGAGAATGGAGGGGCACAGCTGGACACAGTGACTTTCCTGGTGGTTGTCACGGATTCCGTGCCCAGCTTCCAGGTGACTGGGGCCTCTGTCATTGGAACTGGCTGTGGAATTCAGCTGCAAGTGCAAAAGACAGGCGTCAAACATCCTGATGCGTTGTTGGCCTACAGCTGGAGCTGTTTGCAAGCTGGTGATGCTGGTTGCAGCAGCATCTCCAATTTTGCTGAGGGAGAGGCAAAATCCCGTCGAATTGACATTCCACCTGAGGAGACTCCGGTGGGAAGCTATACTTTCCGTGCCTTGCTCCGCTTGGTTGCAATTTGATAAGACATTGAGTGCTTCGATGCTTCTCATTTTGGAATCTTAAATTGAAAAGGATCTGAAAAGAATGGTCTTATTTCATCTTATTTCTTGATTACTGGAGACATACTCTACCTGCGTATGGTGTATGTCTACCGCGAATCTATTCTCCCTTGCCATTTGTAGCAGTCTAAGGTGCCACAGTGACAAAGATCTACGCAGGAAATGTGGTGCATTTACCTTCCCTTTCTGCTTCTGTGGAGGCATGCGGGGTGAGATTGGCACGGGCTCAACTGTATGGACAGCATTCTGGATCCACAAATAACGACATGTAAACGCAGACTTTAAAGCTGTGTTTGGCACCATAGCTTGTCCCCAAAATTTTGACCCATGCCCAGCTTCGACATATAGCAACCCTCAGTCAAAGAAAAGCTGGACATCTGGAAATTTCGGAGGTAGAACACATCCCTACCGTCCTGGAAATACTTTTCAGATCTTTCGGCATTTTTTTTGGAGCCCTATAAATCAGGATTGCTTCACCCTATAGTTAAATCATGACCGCAAGATATAGGGGGTGAATTGAAGATTTTACCTCTATCTCGAGCAACTGTTTTTATCAAACGTGGGGCCAGGGAGCACCCCCATTTTCAGAATGCTAAATATGGCATAAATATGGCAAGTTTGGTGGTTTGGAACATGACTTTTATTTTTCCATTCAACAGTTGGGAATTTCATCATCCCAACTGACGAACTCATATTTTTCAGAGGGGTTGGTATACCACCAACTTCAATGGATTGGTTTAAGGGAAAATCTGAACCGGAAACATCCGGAAACCATCGATTTTCCCGTGAAAGATGGAGGTTTCCTGTAAATTTTCCCAACAAAACCAATCCATTTACAACTCGGCACCAATCAGATGATCAACCATCATTAACCATATATAATAACCATCATCATTAACCACAATTTTCACAGTATATTAAGCATATATTATAACTATTATAACCATCATCATTAACCATCATTAACCATCATGAACCATCATTAACCTCGCTAAATCCGAATCTAACCCTGATTAACGAGGTTAATGATGGTTAATGATGGTTAATAAATCATCATAACCACCATTATATTAATCATTTTCCCCCCTGATTTCATGGTGAACTTCTGCCGGAAGGTCACCGTGAAGGTGGAGGAGGCTGGACCTCTGCCGGTGGAGATCACGGCTCCTTGGAGCAGCTCACAACGGATCTCTCAACAGGCGACCAGCGCGTGGCGGGACCGTGTGAGACCGTGGGACCAGGGAATCACCGAGACGGACCCTGGGAAAAACCATGGAAGAACAATGGAAAAAACATGGGGGGTTTCATAAAAGATATATTTATGGGACCCCAAAATAGGATGGTTTACAATGGAAAATCCCATTAAGAATATTAAGATGGATGATTTGGGGGTAGCCCTATGACTTCGGAAACCACCATATGAAGAACACAAGTTGAAGAGCTGAATGAGACAGCAGTCAGGAAGATTTTGGTGGTTTTGGCAAAAGATCCAATCATCGAGATATCTCAGAGATATTATATAATAAATAGATTTTAAATTGCATAGCATCAATATGCATCATTTTGTTTTGATTTATCGATTGATCAGTCATCAATCATCCGCAAATGCATAGAAATAAGATGACATAAGTATCTACTTGTATGCTCACTTATCAATATGGGTTTGTCTGAAAATAGTGTACCCCTACACCCAATGGTTAATGATCATTATCCCTACTAAATGGCTATAATTGGGGGTATACCCCATTTTCAGACATACCCATATGCTAGTGATTCTCAATCACCATCCCAAGAAACATGAGCATCGATCACCATGAGACCAGGTCAGCGAATTGTGGTTCCCGATCATGGCACACGTGGGCGGTGTGGGTTCTGATTGCAAGGCCACGAGGGTTGAGAAACTCAGCAGGAACGGACGCAACGAGGGCGCTCCAACCGCATGGCTTTGTTTAAATGGGTTTGTCTGAAAATAAGGTATATTCCCAATTATAGCCATTTAATAGGGATAATGATCAGCAAAACCATTGGGAAAATGGGGTACACTACATTTTCAGACACACCAAAATTTTGGTGAACAAAAATCAATCTTTATGCTTTATCATGGGCTGCTCACCATTTCCTTCACTAGAGGGCCATAGCGGCCATAACTTGGAGGCACATCGTCCACTTTTGAAACAAGCCGATGTGGTTCCCGCTGGACTGCCGGAAGATGCTGGAACTGTTGTGCCATGGCAGGTCCCGACCAGTGCAGTGTTCAAATGGGTCATCGCCCGCGAGGTAGGGCACTTGGGTCTCAAGCCTGGATTTGTCTGAAAAATTAGGGGAGAAGGGAACCCATTTCATCCTGACTAAATTGTCATTTTCCAATAAAGATGACCATGAGTATGAGTGGGGGTTAAATCCACCATTCTTCAGACAAAGTCGAATGGGTTTGTTCAGACACTGAGGATTTAGCCCCAATTTCTGGCAATTATCATGGGGAAAGTTATGATCAACTATAACATTTTCGGGCCTATTTTCAGACGAACTCGAATGAGGCAATGAGGTGATGTTGTCTTTGCTCCATCATTTTTTTTGCACCAACCACTTTTTTCCCTGACCTCTTTACTGAGAGGTATTGCAGACCCTCAAAAGACCATCCGTTTCGCACGCAACATCAAACATCTGGCTTTGTCATGCTTTGTCCAGAAATGGGATCTACCCAGTGTATACCCCCAAAATGGTCACTACATTGAGGGGAATGAGACATTTGTGTGTGGCTTTCCGCACTTTTCTGGACAAAGCCACATTGAAAGAGCCAATCTCAGGCCGATGATCGCATCATGGCAAGCGTTTACACCCTGGTGTCGAGTGCAGGCCCGGTTCACAAAAACTCACAGCAGTTCCACAGTTCCACAGTTCCACAGTGAAGACCCCCCCAAGAATTGGCAAATTTTTGGCACGTTGCAGTTGTATATGGCGTTGCATGTCGTGGCCATTGACAGCAACTGCTTGGTAGCCTTTGTAGTAGCCTTTAGCTTCCAATCACTTTTCGGCAGCACGATGCGCCTGAATGCGTGGTGGATCGTGGCATTGCCCTCTTTGCCATTGTGCCAATCTCATCCATTGAATCTATTGGATGCATTGCAACAAGCTCCCAGCAACCAGCTGTTGGAAGCAGCCAAACTCCTCGAGGCTGCAGAAGATTTGGAGAATTTTGACAGGAAGCTGCCATCTGCCAAGCCATCGGAACCTCAACGTCCCAGAGTTCCGCGCCGGTTTCGAGCAGACACGAAGTTTGTGAGTAATCCTGCCATGGCGGGAGTTGGCCCAGGCATGTTTGCGCAAGATGCAGACGAGAAGTTTTTGAGAATAGAAGAAGTGCGAAGTTTTCCCTTTGGAAACCAATATTTCAGCAACTTGCTCTTGGCCAACGAAGCTTATACCATCACTGGTGGCAACCATTCCATTTGCCGCCGGCTGCCAATGTTTGGCATGCAGAAGTTTGTAGACCTATTTGCTTGGGCAGCCAGCCCACTTTTGTCGGAGTATGCTGGTGAACGGACAGTAGCTGGAAGGGTGTGCTCCCAGTGGCAGCTGCGGTCCAAGAATCACTCATTGAGCTTGTGTGCTGATGGTGACATCCCAGTTGAGCTGAACATGACTTCATCCATCTCTGGAATTCCCTCAGCAACCAGTTACCAGTTCGGCCCGCTGGTCACTGGGGAACAAGTGCCACAGAGTCTTTTTGTGAAGCCTGACGCTTGTGAGGAGCTTGCTCCTCCTTGCGAATCTGGGC